CTGAATCTTGTTTGGTTTCACTACTTATCAATAACTCATCAACATACTGTAACAGAGTTCCCTTCTCAAGGCTCAGTTCCTCCAGTTCCCTTGCAACGCATTTCCAAAAAGATGGGGGCTGTCCCAAAAACCCTGCGGACGCACCATCCATGTATATTGGGTAACCTCCAGGGGGTCAGGGTCCCTCCATTCAAAGGCAAAAAGGTATTGAGAGTCCGGGTGTAGGGGAATACAGAAAAATGCATATTTGAGGTCCAAAACAGAGAAATACTGGGCGCTCCCTGACACCTGGGTGAGGAGGGTGTGTGTATGGGTTTGGCACCAGAGGGTGAATAGGGGTGACTCCCACATTCATGACTCTTGCACAAATCTACACTCTCCGTTAGGCTTCTGAACGTGGAGGATCAGGGCGGTGCAAGGCGATTGGCAGAGCCTAATGAGTTTGTGTTTTAGGTTGGATTCCCCTCAGGGCCTCAGGCTTTAAAGGATATTATCTCTTCCAGGGGTATTTTTCCCCAGGCCTTAACCTTCTTTTTATTTGGGGAACACATTTTGCCCTTCCTGGCACCGAGGTATCCCAAACTGCAGGATCTACTTGTTCTCTAATTTCTTGAGGGATGTCTTGGGGAATATTTTGATGCCCAACAGGTAGGTCATCTGGGGCTACTAATAGATGCACTCTCTGTTCGAATTCTTTACCTCCTTGGACTTCACCCTGTCCTAAGAATACACTAGCTTCTAACTTATTTAGCAAATCTCTCCTGAGGAGAGGAACAGGGCATTCTGGCATGTACAAAAATGAGTAATAATAACGGACCCGATTCCGCAGGCAAGGGGAGATGTAAATCGCCTTACCTTTAGCTGTCCATCAACTCCTGTCACAGTACAGTCATGGTTGGAGAAGGGGCCGGCTGGCCAAGTCAGAACAGAGCAGGCAGCTCCAGTGTCTACAAGAAATTCAGTTCTCCTACCTGCCACATGGAGGGTGACCCAAGGCTCCATTGGAGAAATGAGGATGGATCGAGTGGGATCTGGAGCTGGGCAGGCGATCGATCGGGCCGTCAGTCAGTGTGTGGGAATTTCTCATCTGAGAGATTCACAAGGAACTGGGGCCAGTGGGGTTTGCCCCTCGGACGTCCCACAGGAGGGCGCTCAGGGCATTCCCCCTTCCAGTCCCCCTCCTTCAGACAAAAGGCACACTGGTTTGGGCCCAGGTGGTTTCTTGGTGGTCTGTCCCGCCTTCTCGTCCCTCCAGGGTCCCCTCAAGGTGGTGGGTGGATCCGAGCAGCCAAAAGCTGCAGTTTTCTTTATTAGCCTCTCATCCTTATTGGCCCTCCTCCGTTAAGTCTCAGTTGTTCTAGACCTTGAAGGCCTCCTCTACCAGGGTTGACAATGGCATTTGGGGCCCAGCCTCAAGCTTTTGTAATTTTCTCTAGATATCAGGAGTAGCCTGGGCGATAAAATGTATGGCCGACAGTGTCCTCCCTTCTGCAGACTCAGGGTCTGTATTGGTGTCCTTCCTGAATGCCTCTGTCAGCCGGCTCAGGACGACTGCCAGGTTTTCATCTTTTTCCTGTGTGACCTCTCAGACCTTATCATAATTTACAGGCTTCACCATACACCTTTTCATTCCTTCTGATAAACGAGTAATATAATGTGTCATCCTAGCCTGGCCTACACGGTATTCATAGTCCCAGTGTGGGTCATGTTCTGGGATTGCATCCCCATCCACCTGATAAATCTGGTGGTGTGGATTGGTGGCCAGTAGGCCGTCTCCGTGTTCCCTGGACTTCCTCAGTATACGCTCCTTTTCATCCGGGGTACAACAGTGGGCCAGAATAGCCATGATGTATTTGGGAAGTCTGTCAAAAATTTTAAAAGGTTTTAAAACACCCGGTTGGATAGGATCATAGGTTGCTGTGAAACAATATTGATTCCTTGAGCCAAGGTAGGGGAAAAAAATCAAAAGTAAATATAGATCATTTAAAGGCACAGGAACTCACATGATCTGTTATCAAAAGCAGCATTCCAGGACAACTTTGTTCTCTTATGAGAGACAGAAACCAAATCCAGTCTTGCATCAGCCTGATCTTCATAAAGTCTATTTACCTAATTAAAGTTAGTCTAACCTTAGAAAATCCTGATCACATACAAAATTCTTTTCTCACTGTTCCTGTTCCGCAAACCTTCTGAGGCCATGCTTTGTCCTGTATTCTTTTCCCATTCAGAAATAGCCAGCTCTAGTGATACAGGCTGCAACATGGGACCTTTTGCTGCAGTGCTGCAGTGCTTGCACCTGGACACACCTCTCCTCCAGCAACAAAATTCAAAGAAATTGTATGGGACTAAAAATAACTACACGCATGCGCAGTCGGGGCAAATCCTGGATAAAAGACACAAAGAGACCAAAAAACCCAACTGCCACTCTTGAAGAGCCTGGAGCCAAAGCAGGGTACTGCGCATGCCTCCTGCACACACCACCTATGGGGTGGGAAAACCACCAAAGCCTTCCTCCGGCCTGACCCTTGGACACACCCCTACCCTCACCCACATAAAGTACAAGCTCACCACCCTCTCAGGGACCCAGCAAGCAAGGGAAACTTGTTTGCTCTCACTTCCCCCCGCTGCAGCAGGGGCCCCAATAAAGCCTTGCCTGAATTTCTTGTCTGGCCTCTGATCAATTTCTATTAATTAAGGAGGCCAAGAACCCTGGTCAGTAACAGGATGGCCTCAGGATGAGAATCCTCTTGCTCAGTTTTTGGCTGGGAAGTAGATGACATCTAGAACCCCTGAGGGTATGGGTGGTCCCCTGGGTTCCAAAATTCACCCTGTTGGGTTTATTCAGTCACTCAACAGTACATCATGGGTCTGTTATGCTCTAAACGCTCTGCCAGGTGCTGGGGATCAAAGATGAGTGGCGCAATTAGCTGGGAGGATACACTTGAGCTGAAACTTTAAGAACACTCTAAAAATCTATAAAAGAAAAAGTTTATTCTGTGCTTTCGTCCAGGCGTGTGTGTAAGGGGTGGGCAACGCCTCCCTCCCCACCCCTCCATCCCCTCGCCTCACCTCAGTTCCCAAGGTGAAGATTTGAGGGGGATTAGATGTATAATCACCAGTTTGGGTCTTGCTTTCAGGAAGGCGTGAGGCCTGAATCCTAACCCGGCCCCGCACACTGGCCCCACTGTTCCCCTAATTCCATGCATCCGGGAATTAGCTAACTGGCTGGCGGCTCACTCCCTGTCAAGAGGCCCGGGAGAGAGTGATCCGGGAGAACCTGAAACTATCCCCACCAACTCAGGAGACCCCACAAGACATCGGTCCCTTGGACGAGCAACGGCCCCTAAGGAGGGTCTCAGGCAACACTCTTAGAAAGTGCGACCCCTTTATAAGGAGGAGACCGGCGGGCGCGGGCTAGTGACCACGAGAGTGTCACAAAACCTAAAACCGAAGTCTCAACTCCTAGCTGACCCCGCAGTCCCGCCCCGCGCCCTTCTAAGAGCTTGGCTTCCGGGAGGAGCTCCGCTGGGGCACCGCCCCCCCAAGGCGCGGGCGCCAATTGGCCAGCGTGATCGAGGGGCGGGGCGAAATCCTAAAGGGTTAGGAGCAGAGGAAGACCTGAAGGGGCCCGGGGCTGCTGCGAAACGGAGGTGATGCCAAGTGGCCCCATGTGGGTTTCTTTTACATCTTTAATGCCCATACCCTAGTCTCACGCCCATGGAGCCCACGCGAGACTACCCACTGTTCGGGGGCGCCTTCTCCGCCACTCTCCCTCCGGGGGCCATCGACGTAAGGTAAGAAGGCCCGGGCACCAAAGGAGGCTGACCAGGTGGGTTGCGGGAAGTAGCCGGGGTCAACCAGGGCCTGCCTCGCCTCTCTTCAGCGACCTTCGACCGGTCCCGGACAATCAAGAAGTTTTCTGTCATCGCGTGACAGACCAGAGCCTGATCGTGGAACTTCTGGAGCTGCAGGCCCACGTGCAGGGCGAAGAGGCGGCGCGGTGAGGGAGGCGGGTCCGCGGCTGGCCAATGGGAGGACCAGAGCCGAAGGAGTGGGCGGGGCCTGTGGCAGGACGGTTAATCTGGGCAATGAGAACTCCAAGGGTAACACCACGTCACCAGAAATGAGCGAAGTTTAGGATGAGATGCTTGTAAGGGGCAGTGAGAAATGCCCCTCCCTGACCCTGCTCTCCCAACTCCAGGTACCATTTTGAGGACGTTGGCGGGGTGCAGGAGGCTAGGGTTGTGCAGGTGGAGGCTGTGCAGCCCCTCCTTTTGGAGAACCTGGCCCTGAGGGACTGCTGTCAGGAAGCCTGGATCCTCTCTGGCAAGCAGCAGGTAGCTAAAGAAAACCAGCAGGTGAGGGCCAGGGGAGTGTGAGACGTCTTGGAGGGGTGAAGGGGGTGGCTCTAGGGAATCAGGTAAGCATCCTGACTCTGATCACTTTAGGTAGCAAAGTATGTGACACTGTACCAGGCCTTGCTGCGGCTGCCCCAGTACCAGACTGATTTCCTGCTCACCTTCAATCAGCCCCCGTAAGGAGAACAGAAAGGGCACATGGCTCATGACTGGGTCCCCAGGAGAACTGGCTTGGAGGGGCAGAGTAGGGAGACTGTCTGGTGGGGCCCTCCAAGGAAGTGGGAGTGGGCCAGGGGTTTGGGGTCACGGATAACCAGGTCCTCTGGGAAACAGGAAATGGGAATTTACAAGCCCAAGGCCCGGATGATGTTCTCTCTCTATCTGTTCCCCACCCCAAACTCTGAGAATAGGTCATCTCTTGGCCCTGAAAATCTGTCACTTCCGCCCTGGAGCCTGGGTGACTTCGAACAGTTGGTGACCAGTCTGACCCTTCACGATCCCAACATCTTTGGTCCCCAGTAAGGATGCTGAAATGCTGCATGCTGCTTCTGAAGACCTGGGGCCTCTGTTCTGCAAGGGGATCAAAGGGTTGGATATATTCCCCTAATTCCTTCCCAGTGCATAAACATAAGACACCTCCTCTCTGCAGAAATAAACTTGCTTTATAACCAATATAATCTCTGTGCCTTTGAATCCAACAGAACACCTGGGTCCCCCCAATTCCCTTTGGTCTTGGACGGTGGAGTTTAAAATTGTGCATGGGATCAGAAGGGACCCAAGGCCGGCAGTGGAGGAAGGGAGGAAATACACTTTGCAGTGACTGGTTCAGCCCTGAGAGAGGGGTGTGAAATTCACAGGGGTATGGGTAGGGAAGGTTTAAAGCGACACCCAAGGAAGGGAGGGAAACGATCCCTTGTAGTGATTCAACCCTGAGAAAACAGATGGGGAGTGGGGTTGGTGGTCCCCCTCTGATGGATGAAAGATCATCTGGTCAGAAGTCACCAGGTCATAACAATGATTGAGTCAGAAGAGTCCAAGGAGTGCCGACTTGGTGGAGTGTTGGAAGAGTGGCTGTTGTTATTTGGTATACATGTAGTAGAGTGTGCGCAGCTGGTCCCAGAAGAAGAGGGAGAGGATGGTGTGGGGGCCGAGGCGGAAGTAGGAGGCACCTATACCCTTGTACATGCCCCAAATGCCCTCTATCCGAGCTGTCTGCAGCAGAGCATCCAGCAAGCCCCGGTACATGAGGCCCTGAAAGGTTGAAGAGGAAGAGCAGAGTTTGTCAGAGCCCACCAGGGGCCTCACCTCAGCAGGCTGCATTTTAGGCTTCCTACCTGCACCCACAATCTGCTTCCCTCACCCCCTGGCTTTCCCTGCCATCCCGCACCCCAGAGCACTCCCTTACCTTGCCCTGAGCATCTGTGGGCTGGTTGTAGAGCCTTGTGCTGACCACGTCAAAGGGTGTCATGGCCAGGACCACCGCAATGCCACTCACCATGGCGGCCACCAGAGCCACCTTCCAGCTCTGGGGTGGAAATATCTAAGGGGGGGAGGGAGGAAGAGCTCTGTCAGTCGGCCAATCAATCAACCCCTCGGAAAGACCAGGCCCTGCGCTGCGGGTACAGTGGAGAGCTGGCAACTCAGGGAGCTTCCACTCCACCGGTGATAACACTGTGAAGGAGGAAGAGTGGAAGGCCCTGAGGACTCAGGTACACCTGGGAGGAAGTGACAAGAGAACTGTGGGAAGCTTGTAAAGAGACAGTGATCCCCGCAAGCCCTCCTGCCTCTCCCTCACACTGAATGCTGGCACTGTCCCTCTTGAAGCTGAGCCCACTTCAGCTTGCCCTTCCCCTGCCCACATTCCCAGGGTGGCCCCACCCCTTTCCCACGCAGTACCTCCCGCTGGGTCACGAGGTCCTTGGTGGACGAGAAGGTGCACAGCTGGGTGGAGGAACCGATGATAACTCGGGGCAGGCCGCCCAGGGCCCCACGCCACAACCCCACCAGACCATATTTCTGGCCAATCTTGATTAGCGCCTGAAACATGCCCTGGTTGGGGGAGGGGGAGGGCAGAGAAAAAAACATGGGTGTGGGGTTCAGTCACCCAGGCATCAGGGGCTGCCACCCCCTAACAGTGCCAAGGATGGGTCCATAAAAGGCACCCGATGTCTAGACAACCAGTGCCATGTGGGCTTAGAGCATGAATGTGGCCCTCACTTGTCTGCCAACCCACCTTCCCTCCCTCGCCACCCCAGAACAGGGCAGGGTATATGCAAGTGAGGACATTAGCAGGTCAGGAGAATGGGCAAGAGAAATAGGTGCAGAAGCTAGAGGAACAGGGAACATGGGGATAAGAGGGTCTGGGTGGACTCCAGGGGCAGAGTAGGGCCAAACTGATGGGCTGGACAGAGCCGTGGCTGGGTTGCGGCTGTTCGGTGCAGGCAGAAACCTGCGGAGAATGGAAGAGAATGGGCAGGGACGCCAGCGGGTTGGAAAACCCTCACCTGATGGTTATACTGGTGCCCCACAGCAATTTCTGTGGCTGCCTGTGCCTGTAGGTGTGTCTTCACCTGGAGATGAGAGAGTATCACAGCCTGTGGCCCAGCGGCCAGCCCCCCACCTCAGACAGCCAAATGCCTGACCCCTTCACACTTCCTCTGCGGTGTTCGGCAATGAATATCCTTCTAATCTGATAATTATTGTTGTTCCCCCCTAATAAATTGGTCCTGAGACTGTGTCCCTTGGCTCCAGTCCCGGGGGGTGGCTCTCCTAGCACTTCCCTTGGGGGAAGGTGCGGGGATAGAGAGGTTGGAGAATGGCAACAATTCCTAAGACTGTTCATGTTAGGCAAGACCTGGTGTCCAGCCTCTCATGCCAGCTCCTACTCCCAGACAGGATCTTCAGCCACCATCACGACCAGGCTCCCCATCAGACTCTGGGGCAGGTTGTGAGGGGTCATCGGCAAAACTTGCTCTCTGGCCCCCAAGCCCTGCGGGGGGAATGTGTCCAGCTGACTTTAGAGAAGTCACTGTCCCTGAATCTCATACCCTGGGAGACAAGACTGCCTCTCCTACAGAACTCATTGCCTCCCAACGTCTTTCCAGAAAGAGCGCTAAGCAGGGCCAAGTCCTAGCAACAAGCAGCTGCGGTGACCTTGAGCTAGTCACTTCCCCTTTCTGGGCCTCAGGTTCCTGACCCTTCACCGATACCAGATTAACTCAAAGGGGCAGACTGTGGGATAGTAATTCTGTAACGCCCAGGACTTCCCCTGATCCCCACACTCGTTGATGTATGTTAATCAAATTCCTCACCCTCCCCTACACAAATCCACTTCCAACCTCAGTAACAGGTTGTGAAGGCCCAGTCACCCACCCTACACCAAAGGTCCTCCCTGAAGGCCCCAAGCAAGACCCTTCTTCTCACCATGTAGATGGGGCTCCCCAAGTAGGCTCCCATGACCCCAGCCAGGGCCCCAGCTGCTGCGCTGCGGACAGGGCTCAGGGTGCCTTCAGCCGTGTGCAGGCAGCCCCCAGCTTCAGCCAGCCCATAGGTGCCCAGCCGGATGCCGTTCATCAGGAACTGGTATAAGAGGGCAGGGGCCAGGCCCTTCTGCAGGGCTGCCAGGCCGTCCACCTTGCCGATGGTGATGAAGGCATGGAAGACGTTTCGGTAGTGTCGTCGGTAGGTCCCGGGGACCTGCAGTTCTCCCTGCAGCTGCATCCTGGTCTTCACCACCTCCAGGGGATTGGTGAACAAACAGGCTCCGCAGGCTGCCAGGCCGCTCATCAAGAAGTCCATAGTGGGACAGCAGTAGCAGGAACTGGCCCAGGGGTAAGAAAGTTAAAATAAGCTTCAGAAACGGAGTCAGAAAATCAGGGGAAAGCCTCAGTTCCAGCAGTCCAGGCTGTAGGAGGTAGAAATGCAGAGGTCTGGAGTCAAGAGTGTCAGGGTCAAATGTCAAGAAGTCAAGGGTTAGCTGGAATTTGGGAGTCAGGAGACGGCAAAGAGAGAAGAACTATAAGTTTAGGAGAGTCTGGCGAGAGGGTTATGACAGGGACTTGTTAATCAAGGGATTTGAGGTCAAGGAGGGGCAGAAGCCAGGAGGGGGTCAGGTGGGATGCTGAGGATGGCCGGCTATGGGGGCCGGGAGTAGGTGAGGCAAACGCGGAGCTGGGAGACCGGAGCCAGGGAGGAAGGAAAAAGAAAATCTGCAGGTTAAAGAGGGAAAGGATCCAGGAGAAGATCTAGTGGCGTCCCCGGACAGAACGAGGTCTGGATCGGGGAAGGAAGTCGAGGCTCCGGCCAGGGATGAGCGCCCTCAGGCAGCTGCCGGAGCCCGCAGCAGCTTCACCCCGGGGAGCCTGCGGAGGCCGGGCCGCCACACTCCAATCACTGGAGAGCGACGCCCAATGGGGAGCCATAGCCGAGAGCCTCAGCCAATCAGCGCCGAGCCGGCTCTGCGGCCAATGGGAGGTGCTCTCGGCGACCCGGCCTCCGGAATCCGCAGAGAGGCGATTGGAATTAACTCTCCCCACCCCGGTACCAGTGCCCGGGCTGCGGACTCGGAGTGCTGGGAGGTGTCGCCGGGGAGCAGAGGTTTTATCACTGGCGGGGAGGAGAGGTTGGACCCTGGGTTACTGGACGGGCGCAGAGGCCGAGTACGGAGGCAGCAGTCCCTCATCTGCATGTTTTGGGCTGCTCCTCTTGCGGGCGGAGGGCTCCCCTCCTTCGCCTTGTATCCCGGGTCATCGCCGGGTGCGGTTGCCAAACTGTAGGTCCACTCCCTCTCGGTTCAGGCGCCAGGAGAGCCCGGAAACTGCGGTTCCTCCCGCGAGGCAGGTGGGACACACCTACTGGACGGGACAGATCTCCTTAGGCTTGGTAAAATATTTGTAGGTTCCAGCGCGGGGCGTGGTGGCTGTGGGCGCGGAGGAAGGGGTCCCGAAGGATGGCTAGGGAACATAGTCACATCCCTACGTTCTTTTGATCCTCACGGCACCCAGGGAGAAGGCCAGACAGGCTAAGTAAGGCGGGATTTTGATCCCTGGGCTTAGGTTACACAGGGCCAGCAAGTGGTGGGAGAGGTCCTGAGACTCCGGTCTCCTTCCTGTCCTAGTTCGTGAGCGACTAGGGAAGCTAGCTGGGAAGGGGTTGAGGGGGGAAGACTTGAAGAAAGGTGGCAGGAGGATAGGGGATGTCTTCTGGGGTGGGAGGAGGAGGCAAGGGGGCACAGCTGTGTGTGAGGCAGCCACCAAACTTAGACTTAGAGGCCTTTGGGGTTCCAGTTTGGGTCTTCCTGCTTACCAGCTGGGTAGCCTTGGGCAAGCTACTTAACATCTCAGAGCCTCCTTTGTAAAATGGGAATGATAATTATTTATTGCGCAAACCTGAGTGAAAGTGTTGTATTTTCTCGTGTGTATCCTGTTCCCGCTGCCGGTGAAAGTCCTTGCACCCTTATTTTGGTGACCTCCAAATCACTCGTCTTGAGCTTCATCTACTGATCCTTGAAGCTTTTTAGCCACTTCCATCCTGCTTTGCTCCTCAGGCATTTACCCTTGTTTCTCATTTGATTAGCAGTTGTTTACTCTGAGTCCTCCAGTACGCTGGGAGTTCTTGGATGCCCCCCCCCCGGGGGCTGGGGGGCTGAGTCTGGGTCTTATCTCCCCAGTGTACTGCTAAATCATTGAGCCTCTGGGCTAGGCACGAGGGGTGGAGCAGATAACGGGGCCTCTCAGGAGAGGCTCTGAAAGGGTCCCCTGAAAATTTCCAAGGAATGCTCCCCAAATGCCTCCACTTGCTGACTGGGATTGACACTCAGAAAACTGAATTCATCTCTTGGTGAGTGTCGAGCCAAAAGACACAACCAAGCCAAAGAGTGGGAGAAGGAAGGATTTATAAGTAAGTAAGGAGAACACAGGGGATCTTTCCCAAAGCAGTGTCTCCCGAACAGCAAAATTGGAGATGAACAGCAAAATTGGAGACATTTTAAGCTAAGGATACATGCATATTAGTGAATGGGTTTGGGTGGCGTATGCTTGTTCGTGAAGGGGCTTGAGCAGAAGAGGAATCAGCATAGAATAGGGGCGAAGGTTGCTGGAGTCCAAGCTTTAGTTGATTGAAATCTCAAGCATCTGAAGAAGGTTAACATCATTAGGTTCCCACCAGTCTGCCGTTTTAGCCCCTAGTTACTTACCATCCTCCACCTGCATGGGGGACCTTGGTTCGGTAGAACAACTAAAAAGATCAGATTGTTATGCATATCCCTTGAGGAGGACCTAGGACTCTGTTTTATCACTGAATTGTTGCTTCTTGAATGCTTTGCCTTTGTTCCTGCATTCTTTTGTTCCCCTAAGATCATTAATTACTGAGACCTGCTCTAGGGCAAGCATTGTGGCCAGGCTGAGATCACAAAATGGCTTAGACCTAAAATGGCTTCTCTTATGTCAAGAAAGCCATGCAGGGTTCTCTTTCTCTAGGACCCCCTACCCTATCTGCTTATAGGATGCGAGTTCATCATTGTTTTAATCTTTGAGTTTATACTAGTGATTCTCCAAGTGCAGTCCCTGGAGCAACAGCGGCAGTACCTGGGGACTTACTAGAAATGCAGATTCTCTAGGCCCATCCTAGACCTCCTGCACTGAAGGCGGGGGCCTGACAGGGGTTTAACAAACCGTCTAGGTTATTCTGATATGTGCTAAAGTTTTAGAACCACTGCTGAAGTCTTTCATTTTTAATATCCAGATGCCCTACAGATAGACAACTTTTTTTTTTTTTTTTTTTTGCGGTACGCGGGCCTCTCACCCTTGCGGCCTCTCCCGTTGCGGAGCACAGGCTCCGGACGCTCAGGCTCAGCGGCCATGGCTCACGGGCCCAGCCGCTCCGCGGCACGTGGGATCCTCCTGGACCGGGGCAGGAACCCGTGTCCCCTGCATCGGCAGGCGAACTCCCAACCACTGCGCCACCAGGGAAGCCCCAGATAGACAACTTTTAAAGTGTTATTTTTTAAAAAATAAGCTTAATTTTTATTTCTTAAAAATTTTATTTATTTATTTTGGGCTGTGTTGGATCTTCGTTGCTGTGCGCGGGCTTTCTCTAGTTGCGGCGAGTGGGGGCTACTCTGTTGTTTCGGTGGCTTCTCTTGTTGTGGAGCACGGGCAATAGGCGCGCGGGATCCAGTAGCTGTGGCATGTGGGCTCCGTAGTTATGGCTCTTGGGCTCTAGAGCACAGGCTCAGTAGTTGTGGCTCACGGGCCTAGTTGCTCTGTGGCATGTGGGATCTTCCCGGGCCAGGGGTTGAACCCATGTGCCCTGCATTGGCAGGCGGATTCTTAACCACTGCGCCACCAGGGAAGCCCTTTTCCCTGTTTTTTTTTTAACTGGGTTGTTTGTTGTTGAGTTTGAGTTATTTTGGATAAGAGTACTTTATCAGATAAGTGTTTTGCAAATATTTACTCCCAGTCTCTGACTTGTCTTTTCATTCTCTTAATAGTGTCTTTTACAGAGCAGAAGTTTTTAATTATAATAAAGTCTAACATCAATTTTTTTCTTTCATGGATCATGTTTTTGATGTTGTATCTAAAAACTTATTGCCAAGCCCAAAGTCACCTAGATTATCTCCTATACTTTCTTTTAGAAATTTCATAGTTTTATATTTTACATTTAGGTCCATGATCTTTTTTGAGTGTGAATGATGTAAGATCTCTGTCTCTTTTTTCTTTTGTTTGCGGTACGCGGGTCTCTCAGTGTTGTGGCCTCTCCCGCTGCAGAGCACAGGGAGCCTGGATGCACAGGCTCAGCGGCCATGGCTCACAGGCCCAGCCTCTCCACGGCATGTGGGATCTTCCCGGACCAGGGGCACGAACCTGTGTCCCCTGCATCGACAGGCGGACTCTCAACCACTGTGCCACCAGGGAAGCCCGGTCTGTGTCTTTTTTACATATGGATATCAGTTGTTCCAAGAAGTTTTGTTGAAAATTCTATCCTTTCTCCATCGAATTGCTTTTGCTCCTTTGTTAAAAATCAGTTGACTCGGGGAATAGAGCCAGTATTTTATCATAACTGTAAATGGAATATAATCTATAAAAATTTTGAATCACTATGTTGTACACCCCAAACTAATATAATATGGTAAATCAACTATACCTCAATTTTTTAAATATATCAGTTGACTATATTTGTGTTGGCCCATTTCCATTGATCTATGTGTCTGTTTTTTCACCAATACCATGCTGTGTTGATTATCATAGGCTGTTATCATTTTTTTCCCCCCTGGGTATGAATGTCCTGAGACACGTGTGAGAGGAGTGGAGGGGAAGCACAAAGATGGCCCCAGGTCTGAGAGAAGGGGTGAAACCACAGAGAGGGGGAGAGTGAACGATGCAGAGGCCTGGAAGGCACGGAGCTGTGCCTCTTCTGCACCTCTACCTGGGGCGGCCTAGACACCCACAGCTTCACATTGGCTGCCAGGCCCCACACCTGATGTGCTCACCCTCCACCTGGTGGCAGTTGGACAGAATCCTCTATCCTCGCACAGATTAGAACCTGCATGGATTCCCAGAGCAGGCCAGCGTTTCCTCACTGCCCCCTTCCTGATGTATCCCACACCACAGGCAGGCTACCTACCCTTAATAGATTTCTAGACAGAAAAGAGGGCCTAGGTGTTTTGTACTCCATGAAGGATTCTGTTGGAGTTCAATGTCCTGACCCTATCAGAGGCCAGTGGGACTCAGCACTTCTTTCATCATGAGCTCCTCTCCCATTGGAAGGGATTTTTTTGCATGAATTAAGCTTTGTCCCTGCTTGGATCACACGCTCACCCCTGAACCAATCTCAGTAGCTAGGGAAGAGGAAATGTGCTGACTGGCTGCTTCTGGGCCACACATTCCCCCCAGAATGGGCCATGTGGACCTAGAATGGTGGAAGGGCGGGTTCCCAAAAGAAAACTGGGTGCTGGTACCCCAGAAGAGGGGGAATGGGTGGGGAACTGGTTAAAACTCCTGCCATCCACTCCTTCACCTGCTCAGAAACCTCAGTGCCTCTTCTGCCCTGTCCGGTTGCCCGTGGGGTTCCTCCAGCCTCATACCCCTCTTTTCATATCAGCTAAGCTTCTCTCTCACAGTTCTCCAGAAGGGCCTACTCTCCTCTGATTCACTTCTATGGTCCCCCCAGCTGCTCACCCATGCCTTGCCTCTTGGCCTGGCCAAGCTTTACCTGATTTTCCTAACAACCAGGTGAGTGACGTAAGGAGGCCTGAAGGAGGGCCGAAGCCACCTGATGTAGAGGTAAAGGGGTGAGATAGAAAAACCTAAGGACTCCTCCAACCTTCCAACAAAGAATCTTTGCTTCTGGGGCTACTTTGTTAATCATTTTAATTTTAAAAATGTTTATTTATTTTTTGGCTGCACCTCACAGCTTGCAGGATCTCAGTTCCCCAACCAGGGATTGAACCCAGGCCACGGCAGTGCAAGCCCGGAATCCTAACCACTAGGCCACCAGGGAACTCCCCTTAATCATTTTTAAATTGAAAGTATTTTGTTTTGTTTTTCACAAAGATGTTTACTGCAGTATTGATTGTAATGCCAAAAACTGGAAGCTGCCCAAATGCCCTGCACTCGAGAATGAATTATAGCGTTTAAGATTCTTTCAACAGTAAGTGACAGAAGCTCAGCTCAAACTAGCTTAAGCACAAAAGGGAATTCAGTGGTCCCGGAAACTGAGCAGTCCAAGGAGTTTAAATGATGTCAGGCCCCCTCCATCTCTTGGTTCTGCTTCCCTCCGGTGTGGGGCTCATTTTCTCTCACTATTGACTAGTTTCCTCCAATGTGGGGAAAGGGAGGCCAAGACGCAGATTGCTCCAGACTTATATTATTCCTGCTTTATGACCTTGGAAGAAAGAGAAACATGCCCTTTCCCAGAGACCCAGGGCAGGACATCCTGGCATGGCATGGGTGATTTGCTCATTCCTAGGCCAGTCTCTGTGGCCAGGGGAATGGGATCCTGTGGTTGGCTGAATCTGGTTCCGGTGGCCAGGAGGAGGTTGCTGTGACTGACTTTCACACCGGAACCACATGGAGTGGGGTGGTGGATGAAGAGTTTCCCAGAAGACTTTTACTGCTGTTACCAGGGTGACAAAATCTAGTTGATGCGATATTACATCCCAGGAAAAATTATAATTACAAAGTCCATGTATGTGGTAACATATGGCAAATAGTTATGAAGCAGAAAACAGAATTGAAACTATGATGGCACGTTTGGAAGGTAGAAAAAGAAAACTTTTGCTTTGTTGGGGTGGTGGAAGAATGTATCATTATATTAAAAATCTTCTGGGACTTCCCTGGTGGTGCAGTGGTTAAGAATCCACCTGCCAATGCAGGGGACACGGGTGGTTCGAGCTCTGGTCTGGGAAGATCCCACATGCCACGGAGCAACTAAGCCCGTGCACCACAACTACTGAGCCCGAGTGCCGCAACTACTGAAGCCTGCGCATCTCGAGCCCGTGCTCTGCAACAAGAGAAGCCACCACAATGAGAAGCCCGCACACCTCAATGAAGAGTAGCGCCCGCTCACTACAACTAGAGAAAGCCTGTGCGCAGCAACGAAGACCCAACGCAGCCATAAATAAATAAGTAAATAAATTTATAAAAATAAATAAAATAAAAATCTTCAGTACCTTTGCAAAAATATTTGTACAATAAGTAAAAGGTGTTTGTGCAAAAATAATCTGGCACATATCACATGATACGATTTTCAGAGCTAAGTTTCTTTTCGGAATGAGATGGGGCATAAATAGGCAGTGATTTGTATAGATCTGAAATGTCATGCTTTTCATCTTTGTGGTTGCTTTGAGCAGGGGGCCAAATGGAACCTCTTTGTCAGGAGTGTTAGAACATTCTCAGTGTAGCTCCAGTGAGCTTTAGTTCCCCGAAACATGCTATCCTGCCTTTGGGAGTAGAGGAAGCCTCTCCCCACCAGGCAGGCAGGTGAAAAGCCTTCAGGTGGGTCTCTGATAAGGACAGAGAGAGGACAAGGAAGTAAGCTCAGACGAGCCAGGAAGGACAGGTAAAGGTGCATGGGCGGCCCAGCCCACCTAATTCCTCTTTTTGTGTCCATACCCCCATGCAGAGCTGGGGTGGTTCATGTAGTACCAAGTGCCAACATGTCTGCAGCTGACAACCAGCACTTTGGGGTTAGTTATCTTTTTATTTTTCTTTTTGGCCGTGCTGTGTAGCTTGCTGGATCTTCCTTCCCCCACCAGGGATGGAACCCGCGCCCTAGGCAGTGAAAGTGTGGAGTCCTAACCACTGAACCGCCAGGGAAGTCCCAGTTATCTTTTTAAGTGTTATTTTTGTAAGTAGTAAAACTAATAAAGACATTCCTATTTTAGTAAAAACAAAAAAAAGGATTTGTTTGGCTACACATGTGTATCTAGCTTTCTTGATAGGGTCTCTGAGGCACTCTTGTAGAGATTTCGTCTCCCTGGAATCTAGGGGAGAGAGAGAGTGAGAGAGAGAGAGAGAAAGAGAGAGAGAGAGAGAGGGAGAGAGAGGGAGAGAGAGAGAGAGGGAGAG